TTCAGAAGGAATAGAAACCCAGGGAAGATGACTCATCATGATTGTGAGGAGCATCAGAAGATGATTGCACTGGAGGCAAATGTTCATCATGATTTGGTGCAGGAAGAGAAAAATGAGGAAAGAAAGTTTTGACAGCATCCGTGATATTGGATGAAGCAAAAGGAAAAATTTCCTCATGAAATATAACATGTCTAGAAACAGAAACTGAGTATGTCTCAATGTCTAAAAGCTTATAACCCTTAAACCATGAAGGATAACCTAAAAAGATGCAGGCTCTAGCTCTAGGCTCAAATTTTGTTCTGTTTTTAGGAGAGGTAGAGCTATAACAAAGACATCCAAAGGCTTTAAGAGAACTATAATCAGGTTTGTCATTGGTTAACCTTTCATAAGGAGTTTTATTGTCTAAGACAGGGGATGGTAACCTATTGATTAGAAAAGCAGCAGTTAAGACACAATCTCCCCAAAACTGTAAAGGTATACCCGATTGAAACATAAGGGCCCTAGCTACATTCAACAAATGCTGATGCTTTCTCTCTACAATAGCGTTTTGTTCCGGAGTTTCAGGACAAGAATGAAAACTTTTAATACCTTTTTCCATGTATAAAGAAGCAAATTTCAATTCATTGGCATTATCTGATCTAACAGAACAAACTTTACTATTATATTGAGTTTGAACAAGTTGAATAAAACCAGGAAATACATGCAAGACATCAGATTTCTGTTTCAACATATAAATCCAAGTCGCTCTACTAAAATCATCCACAATAGTCAAGAAATATCTAAAGCCATCAACAGTAGGTACAGAGAAAGGACCCCATGTGTCAATATGAATTAATTCAAATGGTTTACTTCTCATATTGTGTGACAATTGAAAGGGTAAGTGCCTCTGTTTAGCTAAATGACATATGTGACAATGATGAGATGATTTATTTATCTTTTGTTTTGACAACAATAAAACTTCAGAAAGAGACTCAATTTTATTCAAAGAAGGATGCCCTAATCTCTTATGCCACATTTCAGAATCAACATGAATACTAGCACAAGCAGGCGTACCTTGTAAAGTAGAAGAAGAAACATTAACAAGAGACTTATCAAGATTCAGCACATACAAATTTGCAACTTGACTACCTTGCCCAATCATTAACTCCTGAGTAAGTGCCTGAATAGAACAAGCATCAGAAGTAAAACTGACTTTAGATCTCAAAGTTTTAGTCACAACACTCACACTTAACAAGTTAAACTTGAACTCAGGGATATATAACACATTATGTAAAGACAAAGCATCAGTAAGTTGAATAAAACCAGTGCCCTCTATTTTCACGGTTTGACCATTTGGTAATCTGACATAGGTTCTTTCTAAAGCTTTGTACTCTACATAGATTTCCCTTTCATGTGTAACATGATGACTAGCCCCAGAGTCTATTACCCAAGCCCTATGAGACAACTCAGTTTCATGAGGTAAGGTAGATGTCAACATGTCATAGTAAGTAAAATCATAGAGAGAAAGGAAAGTACCAGTCATCTGGGAGATGGTTGGTACAGAATTAGAAGTCGAAGCTATAGCCTTATCAGGGGATGGAGAGATGGTATTAGACTGGAGCTGGGAGCTAAGATAAGAGATCATCTGTTGGAGTTGGTCTTTAGACATGTCTGCATTCTGCTCTGCAGGAACATTCTCTTTCTGAGTGACCATTACTTCTGAACTGGTCATGTTTGCACTGCCCACATAATTGTTCTTCTTAGCTCGTGGATGACCAGGGGGATAGCCATGTACCTTATAGCACTTATCCACAGTGTGACCAATGCGAGAACAATGAGAACATTTAGGCTTCTGAGTGTTTCCATGTGCCATCAGAATAGGAATTTGTTCAGTGAGAATAGCCTGAGCTTGAAATGCAGAAGGAGTAGAAACTGGTCTAGTATAACCAACAATTCTCTGACTCTCATCCTGATCCAGAATGTTGTAGATCTCATTCAATCCAGGTCTTGGCTTCATATTAAGTATCTGACCACGAATATTATTGAAACTATCATTCAATCCCATCAAGAAATTGAATAACACGGCTAGTCTCTGCTTCCTCAAGAAGTTCCTTAACCTGATCACAATCACATTTCTTCACAGTTCTTGATCTTGTGTTGGAAAGTTGTTCCCACAACGTCTTCTTCTTTGTGAAGTATGCTGATAAATCCAGATCACCTTGCTTGAGTGTCATAACTGCCTGTTCAAGTTGATATTTCCGTGGTAGATTATTAACTTTGAACCTAGTGAATAGATCATTCCACATCTCCATAGCATCTTGATAATAAAGTATACTATCATAAATCTCCTTGTTCACGACATTTAGTATCCATGATTTCACCATACTATTGCATCTACTCCAGATTCGGAAACAAGCATCAGTTTCAGAAGGCCTTAGCAAAGATCCATCAACTAGTCCTAGCTTATTCTTCGCATCAAGACTAATTTTCATCGCAATCGACCAACTGTTGTAATTAGTTCCATCTAGGATATGAGATACAATCGTTAAACCTGGATGATCTGAAGAATGGAGGAAAAACGGATTATCGATCGTGTTGAAATTCATCGATCCATGTCCCTCAGAAGCTTCAAATCTTGAATTCAGCTGCTGTTTCATCATCGCATCTTTAGGATCTTCAACGATCATCGATTCGCGATTAGATTTAGCAACGGAACCACCATCTTCAGGTGTAACACTTTGATTTCTCTGTTTTCCTCCTTTCTTCACCATTTTCGTCGAAATCGATAGTGCGGAAGAACGAGTGATGATGATTAAGACGAAGAAACGAAGAGATTGTAGAAGAATCAGAAGAAATTAGGTCGAAATCAACAGAAAAACGCGGAAAAATAGCTCTGATACCATGATAGAGAACGAGAACGAAGAGATTGTGAAATGATTTTCTATATTTCCCGAAACAGAAAAGGTTGTTACAATCGTGTATATATACACTCTACACTAAACCAAAGACTAAACCGTATACATGTATATTAACTTAACCAGTACATTAAACCGGAATCATATATACATCTAAGATTGGTTTGGACAGAATGACATGAGTCATCTTTGGTGTTCAGGTTTGGTTTGGTTTGGCAGTTGAATGAGTTTCATCTTTGGTTATGGTTTGGTTTGGACAGAATCACATTAGTTTCATCTTTGCTTTTCATGTTTGGTTTGGTCATCTTATCTTACATGCGGATCATCTCTGTTCTCCACTTAGCAATAGGTCTCTCTGTTCTTTCTACTTTCTTTAATACTTGTAAGAATGCTTATATGAATTTCGTTGTATGAATGCTTGGAAGGCATTGTTTTACAAATATTTGAATTTTTTTTCTTAAGAACCAATGGGTCCTTAACCATTGGAGGACACTTTACTTAAGATCCTCTCTTTCTATTCTTAACTTCGAAAAACCAAAATTTTAATTTTAAATAATGTTAAGATCCAAGGTTAAGAACCAATTGGTTCTTAACATCTCCTAATTCGAACGGTAGATTGGTAGGTATAATTATACAACCTCAGTAGATGGTTTTGCTCTCAATGGAATCGGAAGTGGTATATGTTAGAAGTTAGAACTATTATACATACAACTTAGATTTTACTTTTCACTGCCACAAATGAGGGAAACTTAACACATTATCATTTTCTATATTGTTCACAAGGATTAGACTCGAATTCAAGATGGCTACAACAAGAGCTTATCTTACAGAAATGAATATCTAAGAAATTGCTAGACTAGTTATTGGTAACTAGTTTAAGAACTCTCTCATCAACATTCTTGGTATCTACTAAAGAGAAGTTGGCCCCTCTTAACATTACCAATATATCAACCTTATGATCTTAAACCAGTTTCAGTTTCCTTAACCTAAGGTTTACGATGTGCAATCTGAAAACATCTACGGAGGTTATACAGTTGACAAAGAACATGAAACTGTGTTTACACAAATCCATCCACGACCACGAGAATACGAATTATTCATTACATTACCAAAAGTTTTGAATAGAGAGACAATTTTGTTTGCTCTCAGTTCGCTCGTTCGCGTAACACTTCAAGATCAACCTCAGTAGGATCAGTAGCTTGAATCTCATAGTGAATCCCTTGAAGCTCCCTCCTAAACTGGTCTTTAGAAGTCGAGTAAAGCACCTTTGCCCGAATTCGAGAAGTCGAAGGAGACCTACAACAAATAAGTCCCGTTCAAAATGTTATTTTCAACTCATCAAAAAGCTTAAAACTTTCTTATAGGAAAAGATCAAATAAGAGGGTAATCAAACTAACCAAGCAAAGAAGAAGATTTTGCTCTTTTGACAATTCTCAGAAGTAACGAAATCGAAGTCATAAACAGCGTATCTGCAGTCATTTTCGGGTAGAGAAGCTAAGAAATCATCGTAGCTCTCAGCAGGGTTTCCAGTTTTCTCAACCACAACTTGTTTTTTGGATTCATCGATCTTGAAGACCACATAGCGATGAGTTTTTTTCCTTTGAAGCTCAAGAAATGTGGTTTTGCTCTGATCTGCAACACCCATTCCAGATGTTGCATTTGGCTACACATATATAAAACAATAAACCAAGAACATATCAAAAACATACCAAAAGATTCGATTTTTAAGCAAATTCAGTGTTGATTTGGTTCTTCAATCATCGAATTGACTTCGTAGTGATCTTAAACCCCCCAAAAAAAGAGAGAAAATTGGAGATGGGCTAGGGTTTTTTAAACTTCGAATTCATCAAAATCAAAATTTTAACATTTCTTAGAAGCGAAATTGAAGATTGCACGCGACAAGAGTACATCAATTTTAAGCAAGAAGAGAAAAGGGGTTTTGTAATTACCCTGCTAAGTCCTCTGAAAGACATGGATTTGAACTCTCTGCTTTCTTCAGACCAGAGAATCGGGTTAGAGAGACGAAGACGTGAAAATAAAATCGGAAGCGTCGCTTTGTTCTTCGTGCACACTTTTGCTTACTAATTAGTAATTAGTTTATGAATTTTATTTTTTTGGCTTAATGCGGAAGAAAATAAGTTGGTCGGTGCCTCGGTGGCGTTAGATCAACGCGAGAAGAAAAGTCGTGTTTGTTGACCCATAACTGGTCGCCGCGTTTCTATCAATATTGGGCCTTTTTTAGCCCATTATTGTACATCAACACAAATCCTTTGGGCCGCAGAAATAGAAAGGGAATGAAGAAACGACGTCGTTGTTAATATCATCTCTTTGATTGTGTTTTTGACGGCTCTAGGCGATTACTGTTGCGGCGGTTCACTCGAACTCCGGCGACTCCAACGTTAGAAACCTGACTGAGCCGTCGTCTCTCAGATATGCAGTTTCTGGTAAGGTTTCACACTTCCTTTTTTAAATTTTATTCTCATTTGAAATTATCCAAATTAAAGTGAATGATTTGGTAACTTGGGGAACGAACTAAACAGGAGAAGGTGAAGTTGATAAAGAAGGAAGAGCCACTAATGGTGAAGAATCCTGAAGACTTTCCGGTTTACTGGTTCGAAACCTCCGATTCTGTCTCTCACCGTTATCAGTTCCAATCCGACGGCCACCTCTCTGTAAATCTCTCTCTCTCTCTCTCTCTCTCTCTCTCTCTCTCTCTTGTGCCATTTTGATGTTTCTCTCAGTTTGAAGAATCATTATGTGAATTATCATGTTTTAGATGAAAGTTGTTGATGATGCAAGACCTGTTCCTCAGAAGATGGTTGAATCCTTCCTTAACAAGTTCTTCCCTTCTGGTTATCCATACAGGTGAACTCAAAGTTTGAGACTTTTGCTTTAGAGAATCTCTAGCATGTGTTTAAAGTTTCTTTCTTTACTTCTTCTCAACAGTGTAAACGAAGGATATCTTAGGTACACACAATTTCGAGCACTTCAGCATTTCTCCAGTGCAGCATTATCCGTGTTATCGACGCAGGTCTTCTTCATGATTCAGCTCTTGCAATGTAGTTCTAAATCTTATTCTGTTTTGGTTTTGTTTGTTCAGCTTTGATTTTTGGCTTGGCAAAATTGCATTTGTTTACTTGAGCTGTTGTACTGGAGGTTTAACATGGAGATATAACTTTTTGTATTATTTCTTTGCAGTCACTGCTGTTTGCTGCAGGCTTGCGGCCTACACCGGCTCAAGCAACTGTTGTTAGCTGGGTATGTTAAACCACTTCAGTTTGTTTGTTCGTTTGCTTGTTCAGGGCCTACTCGTAAATGAAATTTTTTTTACTCTATTGGTTTTATAGATACTGAAGGATGGGATGCAGCATGTGGGAAAGCTGATTTGTAGCAATTTGGGTGCAAGAATGGATTCTGAGCCTAAACGGTGGAGAATTCTGGGTATGCACCATTTTTTAGCTACATGTTTCTGCTGATGTTTTCACAGCATCAACCGTGAAACGTATTTGTTCATTTTTTTCAGCTGACGTGCTCTACGATCTTGGTACTGGTCTGGAACTTGTTTCTCCATTATGCCCGCATCTGTTTCTTGAAATGGCTGGTCTTGGGAATTTCGCTAAGGTAATATATATGTTACTTAGAACATCCGTGTCTGCTTTCCTCAGCAGCTTCAATAGGAGACTTATGAGATACATTAGCTTTCTAAAGACCATCTTTTTATACATCAATCAGCTTCACTGGGTTGCTGTGTTTCATATTTTTCTGGCATTGTTTGATTCAAATAGGGAATGGCTACGGTTGCAGCAAGGGCAACAAGATTACCAATTTATTCATCTTTCGCCAAAGAAGGAAATCTTAGTGACATTTTTGCAAAAGGAGAAGCTATCTCTACTCTTTTTAATGTTGCGGGGATAGGTGCTGGGATTCAACTTGCGTCAACAATATGTTCATCAATGGAGGGAAAGGTATTGTCATTCTGCTAGATCGTTACTCTCTGTTCCAGAATGCAGTTTCTGTTAGTTTGGATCGCAACTCGGTCATCTTAGAAAAGGCTGATATCTGCAGTTGGTGGTTGGGTCGATTCTTTCGGTTGTACATGTGTATAGCGTTGTAGAACAAATGCGAGGAGTACCTATCAACACACTGAATCCACAGAGAACCGCTTTGATCGTGGCTAATTATCTCAAGGTAGTTAGCATCATCTTTAGTTCAATTTTTCTGTAAACTATCTTGTTGATTTCTTTTATTACATAAGAGGTATCGTTGGATCTATTTCAGACTGGTAAAGTCCCAAGCCCTGCTGATTTAAGATTCCAAGAAGACCTAATGTTCCCCGCAGAGACTAATCCAAGACGCAGGAAACGTAAAAGTGGGAAGGGCTCTCCATAAAGCTGTGAAGCCTTCTGAGGTGCAGAGACTAAAACAAGTGTCTGTAGAAGAGAAGTTTCTATTGAGTCATGGAAAGTCATGGACCGATGTGGTCTTAGAGCACGATGCAACTGGTGAAGACGCATTGCGAGGGTGGTTAGTTGCAGCATATGCCAAGTCAATGACAAAGATATACAATGACCCTGATGACATTATATTGCAAGACGCGTATGACAAAATGAACGATGTCTTCAATCCATTTCTATCTCAAGTGCAGGCTAAAGGATGGTATACTGATAGATTTCTCGATGGCACGGGAACAAGATTCGCTTGGTAGCTCCGGAGTTTCGAGTAATTCTTTTGCTATTGTAATTTTTATTGTTTCAAGTGTAAACACGAATTTGTAGGCTTAAGAAGTCTTTGTCCAGATCATGAATCCACAATCCAGTTTTTGAAGACTTTAGATGGATAGATTAGAGTGAGATTATTAGGTGAAACAAAAGTTTGAAGGTACGGTTCTTGTCCTCGTTTGTACTTTTGTTTTGCCATTGTAAGTCCCTATATATCAATCAAAGTGGAATCTGATTAATGCTTTTCCATGGTCAAATTTTGTGTACCGGCTCTATTTTTCTTTAGACCTGGACTCTTTTAGTCTTCATTTTGGGATTCTTTTATAAGTGAAAGTGAAAATGTCCCAAAGTATGTCACTTTTAATGCCCGTTATCACATATAATATTTGATAAATGCAATTATCAAGACTTTTTGTTGGGATATTTAACTAGTTGAACCAATGTTACTGCCTACTGGACATATAACTAGTAAGATTCTTATAATAAAAGCATGAGAGGAAGGATTTCGTTTGTTGGCTTAGTTGTGTTTCAGGTTGGTTACTATGGTTAGGACCAAACTAAAAAATTTGGACTTCTGTACTTCTGTACTTCTGTAGTCTTTGTGGTGTGTGCTATTTCGTTTTTGTATGATTATTCGGGGTCAACGTCAACCCGTCATAATGGAAAATGCACGATGTTAACAAAAATAAACGAACTAGAGAAAATAAAAAGTCATTAATATACTAAAATTAACTTTTTTTAACTTTTCATGATTATTTAGCAATTTGTTTAGTGAAATTGTTTACCATGTTATTATTATGATCATTTCAATATTTATTTGAGATATTTTATTATAGATATAGTTAGTTGGATCTGATTGAAGAAGATAAGTAACACCTTTTAAAAATATTAACTAGTGAAATTTTAAGGCTTTTTCTTCTTTTTGACATGCATGTATATATATAACCAATAATGCAACTCAGCCGACCCCTGGAAAATTACAAAAAGAAGCGACAAAGTTAGTATTTAATTGGACCCACAAATATCTAGATTTCGTTAGGTCACGATCCATTTGAATTTATCAATTATCAAACAACACTTGCATTGAAAACATGGGAACTCCACAATTGCGAGAAGATAACCCGCATTGTATATTTTGTATTAGAAAATAAAACCCGAAAAAGAAAACGGAAAGAGAAAAAAAAATGTGAAAAGGGGCAAGATCTTAGTAATGATGGAATTAGATATCGATGATCATTGTTTTGTTTGAGTCTATTCTTTTTTTTTATCTTGGTCTAAATGCGTTTAATTTGAAACAGCATACAAAAGTTCCTTTTGACATAGACAAACGAATAGTTTACCATTAGTATATAAAAGTTGTAATGGTGAGTGAGGGTGTGCAATTGAAAGAACCATATCACTAATCATCAATTGACGACAATTTCATACATTTTATGATCTCATGGTTATGATTATCTTACGTAATGACTAATGAGTAATGACATACCGTAAGAAAGATATTTCTGTTTTTTTTTTTTTTTTTGCGGTACGATATTAATTTGAGTGTTTCAAAGGAACATCTGGTAGAATATTTTATTTTACGCGCGAACTCACCGGTAATTTTATAGATTCAATTTAATTCCTATTTACAAAGTAAAATTATGGATACTTTTTGGAAATATAAGGTTTCATATGACCTAGATGTAGTCATATTTAACATATATAAAAAAAAGAAAGAGGGAAACAATGAACAAAAAGTGGAGTCACCAAATCATAGTAAATCTTTTCTTTTTTTTGTTCTTAACAATATGATTTCATTAGAAAAGAGGAACCCCTTTACGTACGTACCTAATTCGATGCCTATGATTTCCCTCCATCTTGACACCACAATTGTTTTGGCTCTACATACCTATTTTTTATATATCATAAATGTATTATACATAATTAGAAAGAAAAACAGTGTTTAATATATGCGCACAGAAAAACTATGAAACTTTTTATGTTTCTTATTGACTTATATGTCACCCAACAAGCTTGATTGAGATTAAAAGTTTGATTATTTTTGGGCCATGATCTGATTGGAATGGAGCACTATGAGCCTCTTTCTTTGACATTTTTATGCATATATAATTTGAACCTTTCCTTCCTCCCATAATTTCTTATTATTGTTAATTTTCTTTCCTAATTTCTTATTATTCATATATAGCCTTTTTTGCTTAATATTTTTTCATATAACTCAGGTAATCCGAGGCTCCAAGCCAGAGTCCAGCTAAAATACGTAGCACTGAGGATCTCTTCCCGAAATAGAAAGTTTTGGACCCTATCTGGTTATAAATAAAGAGTAAGATCGATTTTTCGCCGAGTCAAATGAAACCATGACTAACCCTTAAGAATCTTACCACTGATGGATTTCCAAAGAATGGCACGGCGTTATAGACAATCTTTACCACGACAGGACCTCCAGTGGTTATCGTCCTCATCAAAACAGATTAAATACATTAGAAAGAAGTTAAAAGGAAAAAGGTTAAAAACTTTGGACTGTGGGGATCAAAAGTATGAGAAAATTTCAACTTGGAGTTGTCCCACGGTTGCATTGTGATTATATATAATAATAATATGTGTATAAATATAATAACACACTAAACGTCTACATCGCATACTTCCTTCAAGCATTTGGCTTCTTTAGCTCTCATAAAACTCCCATACCCATTCAACACTTGTCCTTCTAATCATTTTACTCAATTCAAGACCAAAGGTTTTTTTTCTTTCTTATTAGTGTTATTTTCTTGAGAGGGCAACGGAAACAGAAGAAAGAGAATGGGAAGAGCACCATGTTGCGAGAAAATGGGGATGAAGAGAGGACCATGGACTCCTGAAGAAGATCAAATCTTGATCAATTATATTCATCTTTATGGTCATTCTAATTGGCGAGCTCTCCCGAAACACGCAGGTGATTTTCCTTCTACATTTTGTTTTGCATATTGATTTTCTATTTATAATTCTTTTAATATGTAAACAATTTTGTTTACGTTTTTGTGGATTTTGTTTAGGTTTACTTCGATGTGGGAAAAGTTGCAGACTTCGTTGGATCAATTATCTGAGGCCAGACATTAAACGTGGCAATTTCACTCCTCAAGAAGAACAAACTATCATCAATTTGCATGAAAGCTTAGGCAACAGGTTTGTCTTTTTTTTTTCTAAAGAAAATTAATCATCAGTCTGTTCCACAATTTCCTTAATGGTGATTAAGAAATCAAACTGTTTTTGGGTCGACGGTTTTTGTAATATGAACTTCCTTTTTCTTTTTTCCACTTTGCAAGATTTGTCAGATGAATTACTCTGCGTATTACCTAGTCTAAGTTAATAAATGATTTTTTTTGTAACAATTTGCAAAATATTTTAACACCGTGGGGGTGGTAAGGATCCTTAGACCATCATTAATGGTAGTCTCTTAGAAAGATCTTAGAAAAAAATCTTAGCTTAAAATAGATAAAAATAAAGCAAATATCTTAAAATTATTAAGAATGTCTCTTAGCTAAGAGACATTTGGTGGGTTAAAAAGTGCTTCTTAGCTAAGTGTCCATCATCTAATGTTAAGAGCTAATATTAAGAGACTACCAATAATGTTGCTCTTATAATCTCCGGAGATTCTATCCGTGATTTCCTATGTCTCAAACCAAACCAAAGACTTCATTAAAAAAAATTTCATAGAATTTTAAATATACAAAACAGAAACAAGATCTTCAATATTACTATTTAAAAGGATATGCACTTTGATCAATGCAAAACATATGGCATGTATAAGCTTTTGTTTTGTAGTTTTCTTCTATCCCCATGTTTTCTGCTGTAACTAAAAAGCAATATAAAGTAATACAGTAAATTGTTGAAATCCATAAGATATCATTATACGTGTGAGACACTTTTTAAAAAAGTGTTTTGTTTTCTTTGTTTCTTAATAATTTAGATGGTCTGCGATTGCTGCAAAGTTGCCGGGACGAACCGACAATGAAATAAAAAATGTTTGGCACACTCATTTGAAGAAAAGAATCAGCAAAAATATTCAAAACAATGGCGGAGACACCAAAGACATTAACGGAATTAACGAGACCGCACACGTAGACAAAGAATCGGTGATTGTCGACACAGCCTCTCTACAACAATTTTCTAGTAGTATTACGACATTTGATATTTCAAATGATAGCAAGGACGATGTTATGTCGTACGAGGATATTTCTGCCTTGATAGATGATAGTTTTTGGTCGGACGTCGTATCAGTAGATAACTTCAACAGCAATGAGAAGAAAATAGAGGATTGGGAAGGGTTGATCGATAAGAAGGGTAAGAAATGTAGCTATAATAATTCGAAGTTGTATAATGATGACATGGAGTTTTGGTTTGAAGTTTTCACTAGTAATCGTAGAATTGAGGAATTTTCCGACATACCCGAGTTTTAATTTTGATTTTGTCGTTAAGACTTTGAAAGTCTTTTTGTAATCCAAATGAATAAATTTAAGAGTCTTTTTTTTTTCTTCCTCTCTGTCTATGTTTGTAGACTTTTGAGTTTGCATGTAAATATGAATATCTTACATGCATTTTGATAATAACATCGTTTAAGATAACCAGATCAAGACATGTAACAATGGGTTGTTCTAGACTTCTGGTACCAATACCATGTTACACCCAGATTCAAAGATGTATATATTATATGAAAGAAAATCTTTCTTTTATTTTTGTCTGTTTTTTGATAAACTGTAGGAGTTCGGAATCTTTGATCCGTAATCTATTTTGGTGTCCGACCAGCCATTGAAAATACCACGTGTAAGGCGTAAATCATCCCTCCCAAGTGGGGTTGAACTAGCTAGTGACCTTGAGCAATCTTTTACGAGAGCCATTTAGGTTAGTTTAGTTTTAACAGAAATGTTAACCGGAGTAAAGAGAAACTATAAATGGGTCTACTTTTAGTAGTACTATTCCTTTGAGAAGATTTAATATTAGTCACATTCAGTTCCTTCCTTCGTCATTTAATTGCCCTACACTTTTATATTTATATGTGATAATATATTTATTAGACAAATTAATAGACAACTAATACATATATGTTTATGTATTAGTTGTCTATCGCAGTTTTGTATGTTTAACTCGTCAGTAGGGAACAACTAGACATTATTTAAATTTTAGAAAATGTGAAGACTTTTTAAACGGATACTAGATGAAAAAATACGTTTTTTTGTAGACCTTAAATTGTATGGATGGTTCCTACGAAAACATCAATAACACCATGCATTCCGGTCGTACTTCATACCATTGGATTTAGAGTATACAACTTAAGAAATGAAAATGATAAAAACGTGAGAAGTTTAAACGATATATTATATAATTAACGATTACGCATACGTAATATCACACCAAGATTGTTCTAAATTTAAATTTCAAGCTCGTCATCACTAAAACATTCTCCTTTTGTTTAATATTTGTGGCTAATAGAGTTCACATTTTAAATCTAGAAAAGTTTTGATTTTGGACGTCATAATCCTATTATGTCTCCAAGTCTTGATTAAACCGAACCGGAATAAAAACCGGTTTACGCAAACCGTAATTAGTTCAGAGGTTTTAGCTATATCCGTCGCCGCTTTTGCCTATCCGATTTCATCATCTTCTTCGTGAGAAGCTTATCGTTCCACAGCAATGGCTTCTTCTGTTCTCAATCTCTTCAAATCATGTAGACCCTTTACTCCAATACGCTTCTCTTCTCTTCCCAAGTCTCAATTCAGAATCCAATTTCCCCTCAGACCCGGAAAAGAAACTCAATCCCGTCGCTGTTTCACGACTCTGTCATCATTAACGGACGGTGGAGCACCAATTTCCGGCGGGAAGGAGCTTTGGTTGCACAACACGATGAGCCGGAAGAAGGAGCTGTTCAAGCCCAAGATCGAAGGTAAAGTTGGAATGTACGTTTGCGGTGTCACGGCTTACGATCTCAGTCACATTGGACACGCACGAGTCTACGTCACTTTCGATGTTCTCTTGAGGTATTGACTTGGTTAAAGAAGCTTTTAGTTTTCTTGGGTTTATGGAAAGTTTTGATTTTTTTGATTTTTTTCTTTTGATTTTGATTGGGAATTAGGCAGGTACCTTAAGCATCTAGGATATGAAGTGTCGTATGTTCGAAATTTCACGGATGTGGATGATAAGGTGAGATAATAATGTCAAAGAAACTGTTTCTTACAATGAAAATCAGAGCTAACTCTGCTTCTTGGTGGTTAGTTTAGAGATTCAGGGCAGTTTCAATGAGAATCTCTTAGGTCTTATACAATTTAAGCTCTGTTTCTCGAGTT